TCATATGCATCGCTCTATACTTCTAGAGCAAATTTATCGACAAAACCTCGACAAAGCGTCACGCTCAATTTCGATATGTAGTTTACAGTAGAACCATGGGAAAGTGTCTCATATGCATCGCTCTATACTTCTAGAGCAAATTTATCGACGAAACCTCGACAAAGCGTCACGCTCAATTTCAAAATGTACTTCGTAGCCTAATACCTCATATGAGTCTTCCGCAAAGCACTCCTATATTCCATCCAAGAATTTCAACAAAATATTGCAAAACCACTGCCGTTCACTTCTATTTTAAAATGATGAAGTTAGTCAAAGAGTGTGCTGACAACGTATCATCCAAACGTCTCAATTGTTAGTCTCATTGCCGCGCTGAATTCAGAATATTTACAATATTGCCAAACGTCGCTGAAACGTCGTACAACCATCTCTATGATGGGACGGCATGAGTAACCCATTGAAAATCGTGCATGATATCACATTTAATATATTTAATACTTTCTATTATGTTTTTTTTTTATCAGGAAATCAATTTTTTCCCTTCACCTCATACATTGCGTCTTTTCATAGTTGACCTATCTAATACCAATTTTCGTGAAACCATCTTGCCAACTTTTTTCGCCAATTATCAGTCAATTTTGCTTGATCCATTTGGGGATGAGTAGCTGCCTTCTCCAAAAGCACTGCAGAATGATAAGTTTATTATTAATTTGAAAAACAGTAATACGTGCATACATATATCCATAAAACCTCTCTTTCTTATCATTGTCGTCCTAGTTTTCATTTCTAATTACATTAAGTTTTGCCGTGATTCAGATTCATTCACATGGTTAAGAGAACCAGCCTTATGGTCTTTTTTTGTTTTGAATTATCGGCCACTATTGAAAAATAGTTCATGATACCGGTTTATTCTTCATATATGAGATCAATTTTATATTGAATTGAACTCACTTGTTATGAAATCCAGTTCACATTGTTTTATGAATCTAGGTGTTGTTTGGCTGCTTTCAGAGGGTTTATTTATGTATAAAGAAAGGCGAGTTCGCCGATCCCAAATACGTATGACAATTGCAGAGACCATTTCATGCATATTCTTTTTCTCTGTGAGTGACTTGATGAAGTACTCAGAAAGGAGAAATGTTTTGGTCTCTTCCGTAATCTGTAACGAAATAGATGTTGTACTCTCTCACAACTCCTGATTTTTATTATGGGGGTATGCGCCCAATAAATGAGGTCGGTTGGGTCATTTCTGAGATATTTGCTAAAACCTTTTCACAAACAATCGAACTGAAACTGAAAGCATATTTAGTCCATCTTAGGATTTATGAACTGACGAAATTTAAGAGATTTTGAAAACAATTAACACGTTCAGTTTTCTTCTTTTCTAATAGTTGATCATCATGTGGTCATCCGTATACACACACATGGCCCTCAAATTTTGTATTTCTACATTTCAGACAGTTCTACATCATTTCCAGGCCAAACTAGAAAATCAAAAAATTGAACGATTCCATTCATAAGCTACAAAAGTTCTAATTTTCAACCGTTATTAAAAAAAAAGACATTATCCACCAAAATTTTCGATTAATCATCCATACAATTGAAATTTCAAAATTCATTACGAGCTGAATGAGGCAATATAAAAATGTATACTGATTTTCATATTCACCAAACGAACAACTGAAGTTTTTTGCTGATAAATGGAAGACTATGAGATTGGAATCTCCACGAGATGTCATTGAAACCTCCATAATTATAAACATTACTGCATGCATAAGGACCAATCAAGGTTTTCTGAACAGTTCAAGTAGATATTAAAATTATTCAGCTAGTGCTGACAAGGTTACCTGTGATGTTTCTTGATTATTTTGTTTGTCCATTATATCTCTTATTGTTCCTTCGATTTTGTCTAATATTTTCCTCCCTCCAAGCCCTTCTTCTTCTTCATCGCTACCTCTTTGTTTTTTTTTAAGTTTCGCCACTAATACTTTGTATTTCTCGATAGTGTCCGACTGATTCTTATTTTCACTCTTCAATAGCTTGATCTCTTGCGCCTGTTTCTCAATTCTTTTTTCCAGCTCATTCACTTTGCGCTCGTAACTGGTTAAAAGAGTTTGAGAAGACTGAAAATATAGGAGTGAATTTCATTATTGTTAGAAACCTGCTGATTGGTTTGCATCGATAGAATCGAATTCGACGAATTATTACCTTTTAAGGGCTTATATTCAAGAACTTTTCAATAGATGGTAGATAATGATATAAATAAGGATGAGGAGAAATATAGATGGTAGATAATATAGATAATAATATGGTAGATGGTAGATAATGATATAAATAAGGATGAGGAGAAATAAACATGTGTTGGAAAAATGTGTCGGCACACTGTCTAATGATCGTGATAATTCTAAAATCGTGCGGAACGGCTATGTACCCCAACAACTGTAAATGCGCTGTACCAAATTTTGTGTGAATTTCCTTATGAATAAATTGTCCATTACATTTACAAGTACGTACGTTATCATTTTTCATTTTTTTGCATTCAGGCTCTTTTGTATCACTCTTATCATCCATCTCATTTTCGAACTCCCGCGATAATTCTCCCCTCCGCTGCAACGTAACAATATGATATAATTTTACTTGGATGTCGACTCTTTAAGCTATTGTATAGACTCGTTGGGCAACTACTCTATGGACTAACCGATTTTATTTTATGATCGGAAAATCTCGGTATGTCTCTCTTCAGTATGGCGTTGAGGTGGGATGTATCATTACCAGAAGAAAAATAAATGTCGTCGATTATACGCGGCTGTTGCTGAAAGGATATCAAAATAATGACTCGCATAAAATTGAAAGCAGTACAGAATAGATCGTTATAGCTTATAGTTTTGCTCCTGAATGGATATGATATTTTTCGAATTGGTATGTTTACGTGTCTGGAGGGCATTTATGAACAATAAAAAAATTTTTTTCTCCGTTTATGTGATAAATTTATTCTTCAATTTTTAAATTCCTTTTTGGGAAGATTTTGTTTCTAATTCCAGTAATTGAAAATTGCGAATCTTAAGAAAATTGGGTATAGACGGTGTGATGAGGCAGAATTTTGCGCCCCCCCCC